GCCAGGGAAAACTGAGATCTCTTTATGCTGCTGAGAAATCCTGTATCGGTGTTGATCCCACCAGATGAGTTAGACCTGATACTTCTCCCCACACACATGGAGGCAGTTACACCAGTAAGAAAGCTGGGACTGGTGGGGCCTGACCTTGCCTACTTTGGTCAGAGGTGAGGCACAGCCAGCCCTGTCCTCCTCTCCTTCAGCTGCTTGGCTGAAAAAAGCAAAGGAGCAAACATCCCACAAGCCCCGTGCCCAGACCCAGGCCCTGAACTGGTGAAATGGGTGCTACGCTGTTGCCTTCGTAATGCCAGCTGCCTCATTGCTTGCCGCCTAAAAAGTAAGTCCTTTGTCAGGGAGAAGCTATATCAGAAGCTGATTCATGAAAAAGAAAGAAATTGTAGCCACTGAACTTCACTGCAGAAATATCTTCTGCTCGGATACCACTCAGCCAGATTATTTTTCTTCGTGCTGCCTCAGTGGCTATTTCTGGTTCGGAGCATGTCCTTGTAATAGTACCTTTTGTTTTGAGATCTTGACTTGGCCATCTGCAGTGAGCCACGTTGACCTGGCCGTGCATTTGCCATCAAGTGCCCATCCCCTTCTGGAAGAGCCCAAGGCATGTTGCTGAGCCTTCCTCACCATTTTTAGGATCAATCCATTTGCCACAATGTATTTTTGCCTTTCATGCTGCTGGCGCTGCCTTTTCCTCTGCTTTTACACTTCCCTCTTTAAGTGCTACATAGCAGAGGTGAACGTCAACATGTGTGGGGGCAAAGGTGAGAGGAGAGGAGGGTGGTGTCTGCCCAGTACTGCTTCTCCACTGGTGAGGTTCAGGTGGTGTCACCGGCACACAGGGACAGAAAACCACACTTCCAGCTGCCTCCCAGCACAGCCGTGTCTTCCTCCCTATCCTCTTGTCAGCTGTAGCAGAGAGTGCAGCGCCAAGAGCTTGTCAAGAGGGAAGTGATTTCCAAGTGCTTTATTGAGAGACAGACTTGTACAAGTAGGAGTAAGTTCTCTGTCGGTTTAGATGGAGATTTGACTGGTGTTTTCCTGTTTACAAGAGGCTGGGAAGTGGCCTATGAAGTTTGCTTATCTCCGAATTTTGAGAAGTGTTTTTTCTTGGTGAACTCTCTTGGAAGGTCCTTTGTTGTTCAAGTAATAAGATGTGGTGCTGATGACTTGAACGATACACGTTCTAACAACAGTGAAATGCAAGAAGCCAAAACTACCTTAACAAATACGGTTCATTTAACTAAAAGAGGCAGACTGAGCAGCAGGTGGAAGAGTTAAAACAAAAGGAAAAAAGATTATACAAGTTTGCGGCTTTGGCTTCACTACAAATGGCTCTCTTGCAGACTTTATAGCATTAGTGTTGCTTCTCATAAACCTTAAAACCATTCATCCATTTAGAAAGATTAAACTGGTTAGTCATCCAGAACATAAAATATACACATCCATTTTTGTCTGTTACTCTAAACCATCTGAAGAATAACAAATGCAGTTGATGCCATTAAACCAAAGCACTATTAATGATGGCCTCAGCTGCGGTATTTACACTTTGCCAACTCTCGTGTTTCTGATAGTGCGTTCATCTGTCGTTGCTCAGGGACAGCAAGAGCAGAGTCTTGGAGTTGGAAAACACAACCGTGATGTATGATGTGAGGGGCTCAGAGAAAACATCTTGGTGCTAAAGCAGGGAAAATCCTAGAAATCTTACAGGTTTTGTTATTCTTAGAAGGTCAAAGTTAAGAGGTGCAGACTTTACTTACCATGCCTTAATATATTTATAATGGTCTGTTAAACACTTTGCTGTGACAGATTTGTTTGGTTTTCTAGTTATAGATGAAGCTATTGTTATTTAAAGTCACTTTCTATCACTGAAACGAGTTAGGCTAAAATGGCCAGACTCTTCTAAAACAAGAATTTATAGAGACACTTGGTCAGGAAGCAGGTTCAAGATTAAAAATATTAAAATTTAGATTTGATTTGATTTCTTCTTGATTAACATTAGAATTTCAGAAGTAGCACTCTTTACTAGAATTAAGCAAATTTGCAGTAGTTGCTTCAGAATGCAAAGAAATTTCAGTTCCTGCTGCTTTGAAATACGTAAGGCATATCTAGGGATTCCCAGTGTGCTGGAAAAAAAAACATTTACATGTTTTAATGCTTGATAGCATTAAAACTGGGAAGCAAATCCTACCTGAGTTTTCAGTTCCGTGCTGGAACTGCCAGCTTATTCCTACAGGAAACAGGAATCAATGTCACACATCAGCTGTCACTCGAAGCAGAGCAGATTGCCAGCTCTTCTGAAGCGTATGTTCAAGTACCAGCATCTTTGGGGACCACAACCAGGTACCCCAAACGAAATACACACTCGCGAACTTTACTGACTCACGTCTATTCACAATGAGCCCAAAAGCACTCCTCCCCCGTCTCTCCTCTCAGCCAGAGACTGCTTGGGAAGGTGAGAACACTTCTTCTGGTGAGTGTGGCAGATTCCGTGTCACGCACTGTCCTTAGGTTTAGTTTGCTTTTTTGGGGGGGAAATGTTTCCAGAGGTAGCGAGACTTCCCCGTGTGGCTTCAACATTTTTCTTTTCCTACAAATACAAATTGCAAAACTACTAGGAGCGAGAGGTGATCGGAAGGAGGCAGAACCCTGTAAATTGTTTGTGTGGGAAACGCTGTGTTCCCTTTTTTCTAACTGATGGCAGGCCAAGTTTATTTTACAGTATTTACAGTGAGATTTGTTTGTTTTGTTAACCTTTGTATGTTGTTGGGGAAAAGGCAGAAGAAAATCTCCAGGAAGTTTATAGTTTCTGATGATACAGGGTTTAGGCTTTAGTTTTCTTTATAGTCCTATACATTTTAGTAGAAGTGACATATATAAAGGGATGTGAGATTGCAGTTAGATGAGTTATTACTGAACTGTCATTTATTTTCTCTGTATGAATTTGGTGCTTAAGGAAGACCAGCAGGCTAAGAAAGTGAAATTGTCAGTTTATTCCGAGAGCTAGATACAGGATGGGCAGGAATGACACTGATTTCTCCTTTCTGCATCTCATCTCTGACCTCAGCACGTTGCTCCACAAGCAGCAAGGGTGCGTGGCCTCTGCCTGTTTACAGTCCAGATAGGTGATGAGGAGAACAAATTTATCTGTGCTGCAGCGGTCCCCAGTGTGGCTGGGGACACCACGACACCTGCAGTTCTCCATACTTGAACCTGGGCACCACCTGGCCATGAAATTTTGGGTGTTCCCATTAGCAGACTCGATGCCCTGGTGCTAATGGATAAATTGTCAGCCATGACGGTTTACCTTGAGGGTCCAGGTTTTGATCTTTTGATCGGCTGTGGGGAAACTGCTAGTTTTAAGTAAGGGGTAGTCTATTGAATCATGAGATGCTGGAGAGGGAATGACTGTTGCACATCTCTTCTCACATGAGAGCTGGAGGGTATCGGGTGAGTCTTTCGGGTGGTGTCAGGTCTACCAGGCACCTTCTGAGAAACTGGAAGAGACAACCAGTGGCAGCTGCTACTCACACAGGAAACTGCCAGAGGTGGAAAAATCTTCTTGGGTGCCTGCTTTGATCTCATCTCCATTCACAGTCGCCACTTAGGCAGAAGAAAAGGTTTACTTGATTTACACTATAGCGTCCTACCTTGAGTCTGCAGAGCAGGTCATCGGTGGGTACGGAAAATCCGACCAGGGAGGCGGGTACTGCTCTTGTAGGCTTGTTGCACTGAAAGAGAAATAGAGGTGTTTAGTTTTAACACCAAAGCCTTGATTGTGTGACCAAATTTCTCTTGTAGGGTCCTGAGTTATGGTGGGAGCTGAGAAATAAGAGACTTAGGGTATATTTTATGTGTCGTGACAAACAGCCCGGAATTGTCTTACCTCTCCCTAACCTTTGCTGTGAAATTCTGGGTAGACACAGTGTCTTTTCTCTCTGTGGTGGAAGCATTCATTGACAAGTGCCATCTCTGTCTGCCTGGGGATGAAGCATGATTGCTAAATGTTGGAAGCTGTTCCTATAGAGCTGGGAAGGGATTTTCATTTCAGGGCAGACTGTCTCCCTGTTCCCCTTTCACCCCTGCTAATGGAGCTGCTCTTCCCTCCTCCCTGGCCATTCCTTTAGCGGATGAGATACCCAAGATGCCTACGAGCAGCTGTATAGACCTGGCCTCCTCGTTGCAAATATTGACTCAATGCATACACTATCAAGCAGGGAAGAATATTTTGGGGTCACTAAGTCTCCTTAAGATAAATTAATACCAGGAGATGCTGGCACAAGTAGTCACTGTTTAATTTACACCTGTCAGGAGCAGGCAATTCTCAACTCCTATGTTTGGGCAGGTGTATTCATCATATTTAGCTTTTATACAGTATTCTTTTCATCTTCCCTGCATTTCACAATTGTTAATTAATCCCACAGCACCCAGGGATTACTGGTAACGCTTTACAAGGGAAAGCGAAAACAAGCAAGAAGAGGTCAAATGACTGGGCCAAGGTCATGGAAGAAATTTTGTGTAAAGAACATTAAGTTCTGCAAGATTAAAGTGTTGTTAACTGACTGTCCTTGGATGTTAGCTTCCATCTGGGGGGAAGAAGTGTTCCTAGAGGCAGTTTTAATATTGTCTAGTGTATTTAGAGCTCCTTTTTCATTTATTCCCTTTAGCATTTTTTTTTTTTTTCTTTTTTTTTTTTTTTGCTGAGGCAAATGGAGGACAGAGGAGTTTTGTCTTCAGGGCATGGTGGGGAACTTCCACGAAGGGAGAATGTTTTGTGTTCTGGAACTTTTACACGCCAACTTTTCATTTTGCAATTGCAAATGGGCGAACCTGACTAATGAAATGATTTGGTTATTTTTTTCCAAAGTCATGGCGAAGATCCACCGACAGGCCCTTTGGGGAGGTCTGCACTGGTAACAACGATCTGGTAACTTATCCGACAGTAAGTACTGTAAGTATAAAACATGCTCATGGTGCTTTCTTCTCCATAGGACTTGAAAGATGACCGGAGTGATGAAGAGGAGGAAGATTCTGTCACAGATAATGAAGAAGAGTCCACAAATAATGGCAACAAGAACGGCTGTGGGTCAAGCAAACATCTCCTAAACAGCAGCCACCACTAGTGCCATCATGCCTCGCCTCCTGCAGTGATTTCTGGTTTTCACCCAACCTACAGGGTAGAATTTAAGTGAAAAGGCTTAGGAGAGACTGTGATTGATTTATTGTTGGCTACTGGACCTGGAAAAAAGCCCAGTTTAGAGGGGAGGGAAAAATTGCATAACGTGACAAAACGTGTTAATGACCCACTTTCTGGATTGTTGCTGAGTGTTTGGACACAACGACTGGCAGTGCTCAACGAGGTCAAAGCCCAAAGTGTCAGGTCGTTTAGTGTCCCATTGATTGTAGCATTGTTTTTCAATCTGATGTGTGTTTCTCCAAGCAGTTGAAGTTGCAGAGGTTTTATGGTAGGTAGGTAGTGTGAACCCATTATCTATTAGGAACCCAAATTTACTCAATGCAGGAAAAAATTGACAGCGGTGTACAGTGACTAGCATTTTAGTCTTTACTTTTCAGTTTACAGCCTCATAAAGATGGCTGCTTCTTGTGAGTTAGATTTGATTTCCTGGGGGCTGGTGGAGGATAACATCAAGGAGGGCAAATCACTTGCCTGTGAAGAGTTGGCTTCACTACAAAAATATAGTCTTTCTCCAAAATATGCTTTATGATGGATGGCACAATTATTGTGTCCTAAGATTCACCTGTCAAGGAAGTCACTGTTAAAACAGCAAAACTCAGCCCCAGTTCTCCACCGAGCTCCAGTCATTTTGGCCCAGTGTTAGAACAGGTGTGGGTGGAAGGGAAGACAATGAGTGAAAATTGGGTCTTCTCACAGGTTCTTTTGCACTTCTTATTTGTCTTCAAAACTGCCGAGCCATCCCTGCTCCTGACACAGAAGATTAAAAATAAATTTCATCTGTTGCCTTCTTGTGAGCTCATCTCACCCAGCAGCACTGGATGTCTGTCTTCTCAGGAAATCCGCTAAGTTCTGGTTTGTGGTTCCCCTGTGTTCACTGCATGGAGCTGGGGGTTGGGGGAGCATGGGACTAGCAGGGAATGTCGCATCAGCAGCACTGTGTAGTCATTTGGTATCAGGATCTGTATTTCCATCTCTGCTTTTTCTGAAAATGAGGAGTAACGTCAGCTGGAGCCGAACTTGGATGTGAGTATGTGACTTGGGCCACATACTGTTGTTTATGCTTTAAGGAGTGGAGGAACAGTGGATATTTAATCAGCTCCTCTTACCAAAAGTGCCTCTATGCTCTGTTTGCACTTCTGTTCCGATGCCAGCACAGAGCGCAGCAGCATTTTCAGTCCCGGGACTTTCCAAGGAAAGCCTGGGCCTTTTAAACAGGGTGGTACCCGTCTCATTTCCAGATGCATTAGCTCACAAGGTCGTAAATAATTTGTGTCATAAGTTTTAGAGGTGAGAGGCTCTCCATGTGGTTCTACGGTAGCTGAGATCATCTGGTGAACTAAATCCAGTAGCTTGATAGAGACCAGGGGGATCACTGCTCAAACAGCCTCAGCGCGGAGCTTTGGGTTCGGAAAATCTCTTTTCCCCTTAAGGCTGCTCAGGCAGGAACTTGGTGACTTACGGGAAGCACTATGTGAGTGACTTGTTTTCTCAAGATTTTCCTGGCAAAGGAGGGTGTAATTCAGTGACTGAAGCGTTTGAAAGAATGGGAAACGTTTGGGATCTCAGATAGGAGGAAAGAAGTGTTTTCTCTGCAGTTAAAAGAAACCGGAGCAGTGCTTTGTTACAGAGGCTGGTAGTGTGAAAACATCTACCTGAGGTCTGTTCAATTAGCCTGCATTTAATTTTTTACTTATATTTTGGACTGTGCAATACCTCAGATCTTTCTGTTCCACCACAAAGAGAATGGCACTGTCGAAGGACGATGGCCTACAGCTTCTGAGAAGGATGGGGACAGGACTCCTGAACCCATGGCTGTTGTACAGCAGTGTGCTGCCTTACATAGCTGTAGAGAACACCTCAACTGCTGCAGTGTGGGTTTGTTGGAAGTGTAAGTACTTATGACATCATCTGAAGCCACTGGTGAATTTTGCGGGGTCACCGTCGCTTATCGGGGCCGGTTTATTGCCTACATGAAGCGAACTGGCTTTTCCAAACAAAATGTAAAAACCCGACGTTTTGGAGGTTTTACACTCCCTTTGAGAGCGGTGGAGACAGCGATGCTTTCTACAAGACATTTCTACAAGGTTTTGGGAGATGGCCAGGCTATTATCGTTTTAATTTTGGTGCCAGAAAGCTTTCCTGCTATGACTAGGAAAGGAATTCAGGAAAGGAAGCATGAAGAATGATGTTGTTGCAGGAGCGAGCCTCTGAACAACTACTGAGTTTTAAACTGGAGGTTTATAGTCTCGTTGAGGACAAATCTTGCCCTTCCTACTCGGAAAAGTCTCCCACTGAAGCCAATTAACTATTGGAGTTTTGCCTAGGAAAAATTTTGGATCGTGGTTGTCCAACCTAATTATGAGACCCATTCTTTTAAATCATGTGAAAGTAGGGCCCTAAAGGAAGAGCAAAAGGTAGATGAGGCAAATTTGGGGTGAGTACAGAGGAATATGGAAGAAAATAATGTCATGAATGGGAAGATGAAGTCTAAACACAGTAAACAGCCAAATAACGACGTCACGTGGCAGTTACGGGTACGGAAGGCCCTGCCAGGGGGTTGCTGTTATGGCCAACTGAAGCAATGAGACCTAAAAATTCTGTGCGTAAACCACAAGGTACTGGAGATAAATGCCCACAGCGCAGAAATAAGTGGGAACAGACCGTCACAGTGGGGCTGGACATGTGTCCTGTGTTAATGTCAGATTTGTCATTCCTGAATTTACGTGTGTTTCGTTTTCTATTTTAATGACAGAAACTCAGAAAGAAGAAGCCGAGGTCATGGGGAGCCATTCGTGCTAAAGCAATAAATGTCACAGTGCGTCAGGATTTTTAGTCTATTCAATACCCTTAACGTTTGTTAAATCTGGTTATGAAAAGAGCCTCAAAATGCAAGTGCAGAGCAATTGCAGGTAACATGTATGAGCGCTGGTCAAAGATTTTCATATGTTATTTTTACCCCTTCACAAACTGGGTCCTGGTGTAAAGGTTCGACACTGTGCATCTGGCTTTGCTACGTCACTTTGACAACGCCAAAATGTTTATGATAAAATTCTAGACCAAAAATGAATTCACAGTCCATTAGGCTCAGCGGAAACTCTTCTGTTCCATTTAATTTCTCTCAATTTTGTTCAGTGTACACTATGCTGCCTCTGTACTTGTCTACTACATGCACTTACCAATCTAACCTGGATTTGATTTACAGATCTCCTTTACTCCACAGAACTAATTTTGTCAATTTGTATTATTCAGTATAATCATCTTTTTTTGATTTTTGTTCTTAATGACACTGATTTTGTCTGGTCAGTTATGCTACACACTATAAATAAATATTTTTTAAAAACAGATATCTATGTAAAGAGTTCCTGGTTTTCCCTGCCTTGCACTGTCCTTCTCTCTGCTTTCCATTCCCTCCAGCTTTCCAGTGATGGCCTGTTCAGAAACTAATATCCTCCTCTTCTGAGTTTTTCCCTTGCCTGGAAAAGGCTGGATGACCTACACCCTCCTTAAGAGGTAACAGTGATCGCTGTGATTGAACTGGGGGTTTTGTGGACAATTCATGAATAGAAATGAAGCATTTGTGTTACTTGGGATTTATGCTTTGACTAAAGTACTTCAAAGTGATCCCAGGTGCGCTAGGAACTACTTGCCCTAGAATGCCATCGAATTTCTGTGTCTTTACTCAGTTGGCTTTTGTTGTGCGTATTAGGGCTGCTTATGAAGTTGTGTGTGTCTGAGGAGTGTTAGAATAATACGCAAATGCAGAGCGAATTCTTTTTTTTTCCCAGGAGTGCTTATGTTTATGTGTAGACTGAAGTGCCGTCACCCAGTTGGTTTGCCTTGGGTTTATGACCTAAATGACTTGTCATAAGCGCGCTTGAGACAGCTCGTACATGGATGTTCAGCTGGCAAAAGCAGGAAAAGCTCCCCTGATTTCTATCAGCTGAAGAGCTGTTCAGTATTTCATGTTCTTTCCATTTCTGCCTCCCCAAGTCAGGGAGATCACAGAGGTGCTGACTTGCCGTCTCTTCCCATGGGCAAGCAAACATAAGGGAAGGTGTTTCAGCCCAAATAATGAACTGTACCAGAATACTTTGGTTTTATTATCTGAATTCATTCTTTTTTTTTTTTTTTTAACTTACGAGTAAGAATAAAGTAGATGGAAACCAAATCGAACAGGGATGTGTGAGTTTTGGCTGCAAACAACTTGCAAACTGTGAAGAATAAAGAAAAATAAAATAAAATCTTGCTGATTTAGAAAGAAAAACACCGTCTCCACAGGCGCTTCCCGCAGCTGTGGGTTTGAAGAACAGCAGATAACCAGCGGGCAGAAATGAAAGTCCATGCTGAGAGTAAGAACATAACCCAGTTGTGACAGTGCCGAAGAGAGTTGGTTTGATGCTGTAGCTGCCCAGGAGCTGGAGAACCTTTCTGTACGGAGCAGCAAATGAGCCGAGAGCGTACCTCTTGGCCGATTTTGCCGGTCAAAATCACTGAAAATGCTGTTCTATTTCCCAGTCAGTTTTATGGGCTCCCTCCTTCTGTGTCTGTGCCACATGGAGCCAGGGGTTTGTTCCTTGACAACAGAGGTTGAGCTTTGGCTGCCCAAGGACCTTGAGGAGGATAAACACCTCGCACTATTTGAAGGTCGCGCAGGATGTCTGAATTCCCATGGAGAATGTGATTTCTGCTGTCAAAATCTATGAAATCTATCTAATACCTGTGCTTTAGAAACAGGGAGCCACTGATGTGTGAGGGACAGCAAGGTGGCACTAGGTGACCAGCACCACAGAGCGGGACCTGACCTCTGCTGGGCAGCACCTTGTGAATAAGGAGAAGAAAAGTCAGCAGAGGGCTCAGCCAACTCGTTGCACAGATTTTTCTTACAAGTGTAGTTGCCAAAGACTCATTTAAAGACTGTTTTCTCCAGCTCTTTAAGGGTGGAGCATTTTCTCTCACTCCCTACCTCTGAGAGCAGGAGGCACCAAACCTTGAGGCGAGGATACCAAACCAGAGGCCTGGGATAATCGCTTTCCCACTCTGGTATGAGGCAGGGATAGGTTCATGCTCTAAAACATATTTAGAGAGAGAAAGGGTGTTACCATCAAGAGTTGC